CAGCCGGGCGTGGTAGTGCATGCCTGTAATTCTGGTTACTCGGAAGGCTGAGGTGGAAGGCTCGCCGGAGCCCAGCAGGTCGAGGCTGCGGTGGCCCGGAACAGCCACTGCACTCCAGTCTAGGCGACAGAGTGAGACTCCAACTCAAGAAACAAAACAAAACAAAACCAAGTTGAACATCAGGAATAACTATAAATTAGCATTTTTCTTTTTTTTTCTTTTTTTGTGTGAGTTGGAGTCTCACTCTGTCGCCCAGACTGGAGTGCAGTGGCCGCCCCAGGCCGCTGCAGCCTCCACCTGCTGGGCTCTGGCGATCCTTCCGTCTCAGCCTTCCAGTAGCTGGAACTACAGGCGCGCGCTACCACACCCGGCTAATTTTTGATTTATTGTAGAGATGAGGTCTCACCATTTGCCCGGGAGAGTCTCGAACCCGCGGGCTCAGGCAATCCACTCACCTCAGCCTCCCAAGGCACGAAATTACAGGCTGAGCCACCGAGCCCGGCTCATTTTTCTAAATGTAAACAATAAACAAAGACATTCAACCCAAACAAATGGAGTAGGTGCTGAATGAATAACGTCATTACCATTCTGGGAAAATATGATTCATGATACCTGTGCAGGGAAGTGTCATGCTCTCACCTTTAGTGAGACACTTGATAGATTTCGACCAGTTTTTGTTTCAACACTTTTTTTTTTTTGAGTTGGAGTCTCTCACTCTGTCACCCGCAAGAATGGAGTGCCACACTCACAGTCGCCACAGCCTCGACCTGGTGGGCTCAGGTGACCCCTCCGCCTCAGTCTTCCAAGTAGATGGAATTTACAGGCGCGCCCCCACGCCCGGCTAATATTTTGATTTATTGTTGAGATGAGGTCTCACCAAGTTGCCCAGGCTGGTCTCGAACCCGTGGGCTCAGGCAGTCCTCTCACCTTGGTCTCCCAAAGTGTTGGAATTATAGGTGTGAGCCACTAGGCCACACTTTTTTTTTTTTTTTTTGAGTCAGAGTTCACTCTATCGCCCAGGCTGGAGTGCAGTGGCAAGCTCACAGTCACTGCAGCCTCGACCCGGTAGGCTCAAACGATCCTGCCACCTCAGCCTTCCAAGTAGCTGCAACCACAGGTGTGCGCTACCACGCCCAGCTAATTTGTAAAAAATGTATTGTAGAGATGAGGTCTCATTAAGTTGACCAAGTTGGTCTCAAACCCCTGGGTTCATTTTGTCCCCCGCGGTTCTCCGCGGCACCGTCCCTCGCCCCCACGTTCCCCGCCCAGCGTCTGACGCATTTCGGCGACGCCTACAACTCCCCGAAGACACCGCGGGGACGGGGGCGGGACCATCTGACACGCAGAGGCCTGTGATTGGCGGCAAGCCCGGGCCAATTGGAGGGGCTGTTGTTAGGCAGTTCCGGAGGACAGGCCGGGAGGCAGGAAGGTGGCAAGATGGTTTTGGAAAGCACTATGGTTTGGTGAGGAACTACCTCGGGCCCGTGGGAGCGGTTCTGGGTCCGGGGTGCGTGGGGCGTCGAAGCCTGGCGGGCCTAGGGTGAGCGGGAGGGCTCAGGGGCGAGGTGCGGCCCTGGGCGCGCAGGGAAGGGGCCCCATAGACTCCCTGAGTCATCTCGGGCCGGGAGAGGCGGACATGCCCGAGTTGCCCCATTACCTGAACCCCTTTACCAAATCCTCCACCGGCTGGGCTCCTGCAATCCACCCACCACAGCCTACTGACAGTCACTGAGCGGCGGGTCCCTGCTGCCTTTCTCTATTCCTGTGTTGTCTTGTCTAGACCAGCCTCAGGCCTGTCTTTTTGGTGTTGTTTTGAGTCGGGGTCTCACTCTATCACCCAGGCTGGAGTGCAGTGGCACACTCACAGCCACCGCAGCCTCGACTTTCTGGACTCAGGCGATCCTTCCTCCTTAGCTGAAACTGCAGGCGCGCGCCACCACGCCTGGCTAATTTTTCTTGATTTATTGTAGAGACGAGGTCTCCCCAAGTTGCCCAGGCTGGTCTCGAACCCCTGAACTCAGGCAGTCCTCTCGCCTCTGCCTGCCAAAGTGCTGGGATTGCAGGCGTGAGCCACCTCGCCTGGCCTCAGGTCTGTCTTTAGCCAGAGTGTCCTGCTTCTCGAACTCATCGGGACAATCCGCTCTCTGCCCCTCTGAAAATAATGGATATTAGGAAGAGAGATTATAACCTCCTTCCTTTCTCCATTCACTTGTCTCTAACTCCATTACCTTGCCCTGTGTCATCTTCACAGGTACCACTTAAAGGTTGCTTTCTGTGCTGGACATTTTGTTTACTTGATCTCCCTTAAACCCTACAGCAGCACTCCAAAGTATTAAATATTCCTCCATTTTACAGTTGATGACACCTAGTCTCAGCGACTTGAAGTGACTTGTCCAGAGTCACACAGCTAGTTCTGTGACGGAATCAAGATTTAAACCCAAGGCTGTCTGACACAAAGACTTTTACCCGTTGAGCTAGTTCTTGTCATCAGTCTCAGGCTTGGTCTGAGTACCTATTGCCAGTCACATTAGAAGCAGAAGACATGCACTTTTGCAGGGTTTCAAGAGTTTCTTCTAAGTTGGAGCATAGACTAGCATACAGAATAGTACATGAACACATACAAATTGCCAGTTGGGTGGGACAGACACCTATGAGGTTTCTTCTTTTTTATTTTTCTGGAGGAGGATAGCATTGCCAGATAAAACACAGGATGCCCAGTTAAATTTGAGTTTCAAATAAACAGTGAATAATGGTTTGTATAAAAGATAACTTATATGCTGATTCCAGTGAACATTAAAAATGAAGAAAGAGAGACGGGCTCGGTGGCTCAGCTTGTAACCCCGTGCCTTGGGACGCTGAGGTGAGTGAATTGCCTGAGCCTGCGGGTTCGGGACTCGCCTGGGCAACTTGGTGAGACCTCATCTCTACAATAAATCAAAGATTAGCCGGGCATGGTAGTGCGTGCCTGTAGTTCCAGCTACTCGGAAGGCTGAGGCGGAAGGATCGCCGGAGCCCAGCAGGTCGAGGCTGCGGTGGCCGGGAGCAGCCACAGCACTCCAGTCTGGGCTACAGAGCGAGACTTCGACGCAAAAAAAGAAGAAGAAAGAGGCCAGGCACAGTAGCTCACACCTGTAATCCCAGTACTTTGGGAGGCCGAGGTGAGAGAATTGCCTGAGCTCAGGAGTTTGAGACCAGCTTGACCAACATGGTGAGCCCTCATCTCAATAAATCAAAAATTTAGCCAGTCATGGTGGTGTACACACCTGTAGTTTCAGCTACTTGGAAGGCTAAGGTGGAAAGATTGCCTGAGTCCGGTAGGTTGAGACTGTGGTGACCGTGGCTGTGCCACTGTACTCCAGCCTGGGCAACAGAGTAAAACTCCGACTCAAAAAAGAAGAGTTCGTGACCCGCCTGGGCAACTTGGCGAGACATCTCTACAATAAATCAAAATGAGCCGGGCGTGGTAGCGCGTGCCTATAGTTCCAGCTACTTGGAAGGCTGAGGCAGAAGGATCGCCGGAGCCCAGCAGGTTGAGGCTGCGGTGGACGGGAGCGACTACTACACTCCAGTCTGGGTGACAGAGTGAGACTCCAACTCAAAAAAATAAGAAGAAACAGATAACTGTAAATATGTCTCAAATATTACATAGAGCATACTTATATTAAGTATTTTTTGTTAATCTGGAATTCAAATTTAACTGAAAGTCCTGTATTCTTATTTTCTTCTTCTTCTTTTTTTTTTTTGAGCATTGACCCACTGGGCTCTGATGATCCCTCCACCCCAGCCTTCCAAGTAGCCAGAACTACAGGCACATGCCACCACACCCAGCTAATTTTTTATTTATTGTAGAGATGAGGGCTCGCCAAGATGCCCAGGCTGGTTTCATACCCACAGGCTCAGGCAATCCACTCGCCTTGGCCTCCCAAAGTACTGGGATTACAGGCTGAGCCACCGAGCCCAGTCTGTATTCTTATTTTCTAAATCTGGCAACTTTTGGGAGAGAGCTTGGTAGGGTAAATAGAAAGAGGGCAGGATTTGGAATCCAAATGTGTTTTTTCTGGTACTTACAAGCTGCATGTTTTTGAGAATATCTGTCTCTCCCTTATTTTTATCTTGGAAGTAGTAGTAACATCCACCTCCGTTATAGCACATGTAGGTGAAGTGTATGTGATGGTTCTCTTGTAAACTGTAGTGCCCTGTGTATGTATTAATTGCCGTGGTACTTGGGGAATCCTCAAGAAAAAATATAAGAGGAGCCTTGAGGGGACTTCAGATGTTGAGGAGAGGCCTGTTCAGGTAGGAGGAAGGGCATCTATAAAGCTTTGAAGTGTAAACACCCTACATGTTTGGGAGTAGGGAATAGGCTAGTGGGACTTTTATTTTTATTTTTTTAATCAGAGTCTCACTGTGTCCTGCAGGCTGGAGTACAGTGCCATGCTCATGGCCATCGCAGCCTCCACCTACTGGTTCAGGCTATCTTTCCACCTCACCCTTCTAAGTAGCTGGAACCATAAGTGTGCACCACCACACCCAGCTAATTTTTTGACTTATTGTAGAGACAAGGTTTCACAAAATTGCCCAGGCTGGTCTCAGACCTATGGCCTCAGGCAATCCGCTTGCCTCGGCCTCCCAAAGTGCTGCGGTTACAGGCGTGAGCCACCACACCCAGTTTTCAACAATATATTTAAACCAAGAGCACAGAATGAGAAAAAAACAGTGAGTAGTGCACCTGTCTTGACCCCATGTGGGTTGTCATGGAAAACTTTACTGGCATGACAGGGCTGCATACATGCCATTTTATTATCCATTATGGGCATGCTTGAATCTGGGTGTGCTCAGGAAGGATACAGTGTATCACAGCTGAAGGGGACGGGGAGGGTATTTTTTTTTCCTTGGGGATATTAGACGAACTTACCTGTGTTTAGACTTCAGCACATCACATGAGGTCACTTGTGTCGTCATGTGGGCATTCAAAAAAGTTTTGGATTTTGGAGCATTTGGATTAGGGATATATAAACTTGTTAGTTTAAGGTAGGATTTATTTTTTTTTTGGAAGGGTAGGTGGTATCAGAAGACTGCGAATGTCGAGCTGAAGAGACTGAACTCTGTTCTGTATCCTTCCACCAAGGACGATTGAAAAAAGTTCTGAGGGTGGTAGAGGCAGAACTATATACAGAATGACATTTAAGAATATTGATCCTGCCAGGCTTGGTGGCTCAGCCTGTAATCCCACGCCTTGGGAGGCTGAGGTGAGTGGATTGCCTGAGTCTGCGGGTTCGAGACCTGCCTGGGCAACTTGGCGAGACCTCATCTCTACAATAAATAAAAAAATTAGCCAGGTGTGGTAGCACACACCTGTAGTTCCAGCTACTTGGGAGGCTGAGGCGGAAGGATCGCCGGAGCCCAGCAGGTCGAGGCTGCGGTGGCCAGGAGCGGCCACTGCACTTCAGTCTGGGCAACAGAGTGAGACTCCAACTCAAAAAAAAAAAAAAGAATATTGATCCTGGGGCATTGCCTTGCTAAGGTGTGGTCTGGCCACATGTTCTTTGAGCTATGGCCAGGCCATATTTTCCTAAGCTTTGGTCCTTCCCCTACCTTGGAGAGGTGAATCTCCTCTCTCTTTCTCTCTCTCTCTCACTCTCATTTACTTTCTAAGTAAACTGCATTTTCCAATTAAAAAAAAAAAAGAATATTGATCTGACTTATGTGTAAAAGATTAGGACCAGAGAAACATACTGGCAGTCAATTGTGATAGCCTAGGCATTATTATTTTTTTTTTTTAATTCGGAGTCTCACTCTGTTTCCCAGACTGGAGTGCAGTGGCACAATCACAGCCACCACAGCCTCAACCTGATGGGCTCAGGCAGTCCTTCCTCCTCATCCTCCCAAGTAACTGGAACCATAGGCATGTGCCACCAAGCCCAGCTAATTTTTTGAATTATTGTAGAGACAAGGTCTTGCCACCTTGCCCAGGCTAGTCTCGAACCCCTGGACTCAGGCATTCCTCTCGCCTCAGTCTCCCAAAGTGCTGAGATTACAGGTGTGAACCACTGCGCACAGCAGCCCAGGAACAGTGGTTCACAGCTGTAATCTCAGCACTTTGGGAAGCCGAGGCGGGAGGATTGCTTGAGCCCAGGAGTTCAAGGGTATATTGAGCTATGATCATGCCACTGTACTCCAGCCTGGGGGACAGAGTGTAACCTTGTCTCAAAAAAACAAAAGAGGCCGGGCATGGTGGCTCACACTTGTAATCCCAGCACTTGGGGAGGTTGAGGCAAGAACATTGCCTGAGCTCAGGGGTTTGAGACCAGCCTGAGCAACATGGCGAGACCTCATCTCTACAATAAATTACAAAATTAGCTGGGTGTGGTGGCACATGCCTGTGATTCCAGCTACTTGGAAGGCTGCGGCAGTAGGATCAGCTGAGCCCAATAGGTTGAGGCTGCCGTGGCACACCACTGAACTGGGTGACAGAGTGAAACTCCAACTCAAAAAAAAAACTTATATTATTCTATTCATATAAAGCTCAAGTTTGGGAAAGCTAAACAGTATGTTTTTGGGGGCTGCATACACAGGGGTAGGGCATCTGTGTTTTTACCACCACCCTAGTGGTTTGAATTCATAAGGAAATGTGCAGATTACTGCCTTGTTCTCCTCTATCAGTTCTTTCGTCCCTCAAGCTCCCTTTCTTTTTTTTTTTTTTGAGTTGGAGTCTCACTCTGTCGCCCAGACTGGAGTGCAGTGGCCGTTCCCGGCTAATTTTCTGATTTATTGTAGAGATGAGGTCTCGCCAAGTTGCCCAGGCGGGTCTGAAACCCGCGGGCTCAGGCAATCCACTCACCTCAGCCTCCCAAGGCGTGGGATTACAGGCTAAGCCACCGAGCCCAGCTAAGCCCCCTTTCTTACTCTGACACCTTTTTTCCCCACTCTTATTTATCTACTGGTCTTGCCCACAATCCTTATACAGAGCTATTGCATCTGGACTGTGATCAAAACCTCAGTGGTAGCCTGGCTCAGTGTCTCAGCCTGTAATTCCGCGCTTTGGGAGGCTGAGGTGAGTGGATTGCCTGAGCCCGCGGGTTCGAGACCCGCCCGGGCAACTTGGTGAGACCTCATCTCTACGATAAAATCAAAAATTAGCCGTGGTAGCGCGCGCGCCTGTAGTTCTAGCTCCTTGGAAGGCTGAGGCGGAAGGATTGCTGGAGCCCAGTAGGTCAAGACTGTGCTGGCCAGGAGTGGCCACTGCACTCCGGTCTGGGTGACAGAGTGAGACTCCAACTCAAAAAAAAAACAACCAAAAAAAACCCTCAGTGTTTTGTTTTGTTTTGAGTTGGAGTCTCACTCTTTTGCCAGGCTGGAGTGCAGTGGCATGCACACTCATAGTCACCCCAGCGTTGACCTTCTGGGCTCCAAGCGATTCTTCCGCCTCAACCTTCTGAGTAGCCGGAACCACGTCTGGCTATTTATTTTATTTTATTTTATTGTAGAGATGAGGTCTCACCAAACCCGGGCTGGTCTCGAATCTGCGGGCTCCCAAAGTGCTCGGATTGCAGGCTGAGCCATCGAGCCCGGACTGCTGTTGTTTTTAAGAGATGGGGTCTTGCTATGTTGCCTGGGCTGGGAACTCCTGGGTTCCAGCATTCCTCCCCCTACCCCCACCTCCAGCCTCCTGATGGGATTACAGGCAGGCTGGACCCCCACCAACTCTTTGTATTTACCACTCTATGAAGCTGGAGAGGCAGTTTAATTGAAAACAACGTATCAGGAGAAAGAATATAATGCATGGTCAGTAGAGTTGGCCCTTGGCCTCCTTCACATAGGTTGTTTACAGGTGTCTGGTTGAGTTTCCACTGTAAAAACTAATTTGTGTTTCATGCTTACTATTAGGCACTGTGCTAAGTACTTCCCAGGCATTTAACCCTCATATCAACCGTATAAGAATAGGTACAGTAAAACTCATTTTACAGATAACTGAACCTTATAGAAATTAAGCAATTTCCTTAGGCTCATAGAATTCGTAAGTAGCATCTACAGTTATACTACCCTGAATGCACCTCATCTTGTTGTAAGTAGCAGAGTGGGGATTTGAACATGTGCCTGAACATGTCCAGTACAGATTGTGGATCCCTTATCTGATATGCTTGGGGCCAGAAGTGTTAGGAGTTTTTTGAATTTTGAAATATTTATATTATACTTAACCAGTTGAGCACCCCTAATCTGGAAATTTAAAATACTCCAATTAGTATTTCCTTTGAGTGTCATGTTGGCACTCAAGAAATTTCTGATTTTGGAGCATTTCAGATTTCAGACTTTCTGATTAGGGATACCCAAACCGTATTTTCTTTATCCTTGTTTTCCAGTAGCTTCTTAATTATCTCTCATGACCATTTTTTGGTTTGTATTTATTGCCAGACAAAGCATAATTAAAGAAATGGCCCGTATTTTGGCAAACCTGTGTTTTGCACACCAATAGAAATGAGATGTGCTATTTAAGGAACTACTTCCATCCATCAGCAAAGATGGAATCATTGACTGTTAGAGCTCTCAAGGAACTCAGGGATCATCAAGAATTGATCCCTAACAGCTTCACTTACTCTGCCTTCTTATGGTCTCTGGAAAGCAGGCAATGTATTTCATATTATCTCAATACTTTTAAATTGTGAAAAATGGCAGAGATAGAAGAGGTGAGACCTCAAATCCTTGAAGCCTCATTTTTGCAGTTAATTCCAGCTACCAAAGCTGTTAAACTTTTTGGTTTTTTGAGTTGGCTGGAGTGCAGTGGCACGATCATGACTCACAATCTGAAGCCTCACCCTCCCAAGTAGCTGGGCCTACGAGCACATGCCACCACGCCCAGCTAATTTTTTAACTTTGATTTTGTAGAGGTGGAAGTCTTGCTATGTTGCCTAGGCAGGTCTTAAATTACTAGGCTCTAGAGATTCTCCCATCTTGGCCTCCTAAAATGCTGGGTTTATAGGTATGCTGGGTTTTGATCAGATGATTACATTGTGTTTTTCTGCACTTAGTGCTGCCTAGTGTCTTATTTTATAAATGTGTGTGTGTGTGTGTGTGTGTGTGTGTGTGTGTGTGTGTGTGTGTGTATTTGAGCGAGAGTTGCACTCTGTCGCCCAGACTGCGGTGCAGTGGCAAGATCATGGCTCATTGTGGCCTCAACTTCCTCAGCTCAAGAGATCCCTCTGCCTCAACCTCCCAAGTAGCTGGGACTACAGGATCACACTACAATGTCTGGCTATTTTTTAAAATTTGTAGAGATGAGGTCTCACTATGTTGTCCAGGCTGGTCTCAAACTCCTGGGCTCATGCAATTCTCCCTCAACCTCCCAAAGTTCTGGGATTATAGGTGTGAACCACTGCACTTTGGGAGGGCAAGGCGAGTGGATTACACAAGCCCACCATTTTGAGACCAGCTCAGACAACTTGGCGAGACTTCATCTCTAAAATAACTCAAAAAAAAAGAAATATCAAGTTACCTTCTTAATTTCCTGTATTTGGAATACTCTCATTTAATGGCAGACTTAGGACATTTATCCACAAAAAAGCTAAATAACACTTAAATGCAGCTTATGAGATGGTACCATGTTATACCAGTAGCCTTTGGTGCCATCAGAATTGGTTACTGAGATTTTTTTAATTGGCCTGGGGATGGTGGCTCATGCCTGTAATCCCAGCACTTTGGGAGGTGGAGGCGAGAGAATTGCCTGAGCCCATGGGTTCGAAACCAGCCGGGACAACATGGCAAGACCTCATCTCTGCAATAAATCAAAAACTATCTGTATGTGGTGACGCATATCTGTGGTTCCAGCTACTTGGAAGGCTGAAGTGGAAGGATTACCTGAGCCCAGCAGGTCGAGACTGTGGTGACTGTGAGCGTGCCACTGCACTCCAGCCTGGGCAACAGACTGAGACTCCGACTCAAAAAAAAATTTTTTATTTTTCCTTTTCTGCTCATTCTCAGTAAGACTGGGGTAATGCTTGGTCATCTGTGTACTTAAAAAAATAAGTTATGAGCCGGGCTCGGTGGCTCAGCCTGTAATCTCGCGCCTTTGGGAGGCTGAGGTGAGTGGATTGCCTGAGCCCGTAGGTTCAAGACCCGCCTGGGCAACTTGGCAAGACCTCATCTCTACAATAAAAGTAAAAAAAAAAATTAGCCGGGTGTGGTAGCGCACGCCTGTAGTTCCAGCTACTTGGAAGGCTGAGGCAGAAGAATCGCCGGAGCCCAGCAGGTTGAGGCTGCGGTGGCCGGGAGCGGCTATTACGCTCCAGTCTGGGCGACAGAGTGAGACTCCAACTCAAAAAAAAAAAAAAAGTTATGGGTGATTGTGTGTTCCACAAAAACTGAGAGCTGTACCTCCCACACGAGGTATGAAAGGAGTTCCCTGGAACTGGAGAGAATGTTTCAGAAAGATTCTACAACACTTCTTCTTCTCTCCTCCTTCTTCCCTAATCTGGCAGTGTGGACAACAGTGAGTATATGCGGAATGGGGACTTCCTACCCACCCGACTGCAGGCGCAACAGGATGCTGTCAACATAGTGTGTCACTCAAAGACTCGCAGCAACCCTGAAAACAACGTGGGGCTCATTACCCTGGCCAAGTATGTGGGACAGAGGAGGGGGCTTGATAGGTGATGGTTTTCCCACATAGAACTCGCCGTTTCATGTTACCCTTTTCATAGATTTCGTGAGGCTGCTTTTGCCTATCATCTTTCTAGACTACACTTTGTATCTGAATAGGGAAGAAGAGCAATTTTTTTTCTGAGCCAGTCTCACTGTTACCCATGCTGGAGTGCAGTGGTTTGTTCACAGATGACCACTGCAGCCTTGACCTGCTGGGTTCAGGTGATCCTTCCACCTCAGCCTTCCAAGTAGCTGGGACCACAGGCACACACCACCATGCCCAGCTAAATTATTATTTTTTGAGTTGGAGTCTCACTCTGTTGCCCAGGCTGGAGTGCAGTGGCACACTCACGGCCACCCCAGCATTAACCTGCGGGGCTATGGCGATTCTTCCACCTCAGCCTTCCAAATAGCCAGAATTACAGGTGCAGGTGCTCGCTATCACTCCCGGCTAATTTTTTAAAATTTATTTATTGTAGAGATGACGTCTTGCCAAGTTGCCCAGGCTGTTCTCTAACCTGTGGGCTTGGCAACCCCCTCACCTTGGCCTCCCAAAGTGCTGGGATTACAGACATGAACCACCGTGCCTGACGCAATTTGTTGTATATATACATATACACACATATATATATATATATATATATATATATATATTTTTTTTTTTTTTTTTTTGAGTTGGAGTCTCACTCTGTCACCCAGACTGGAGTGCAGTGGCACACTTCCAGCCGCTGCAGCCTCAACCTGCTGGACTCCAGCGATCCTTCCGCCTCAGCCTTCCAAGTAGCTGGAACTACAGGTGCACGCTACCACACCTGGCTAATTTTTGACTTATTGTAGAGATGAGGTCTCGCTAAGTTGCCCAGGCGGGTCTCGAACCCACGGGCTTATATATATATATACATTTTTTGAGTTGGAGTCTCACTCTGTTCCCCAGACTGGAGTGCAGTGGCTATTCCCAGCCACCGCAACCTCGACCTGCTGGGCTCCAGCGATCCTTCCACCTCAGCCTTCCAGGTAGTCAGAATTACAGGCATGCGCTACCATGCCCAGCTGATTTTTTCATTTATTGTAGAGATGAGGTCTTGCTGCCCAGGCAGGTCTCGAACCCGCGGGCTCAGACACAATCCACTCACCTCAGCCTCCCAAAGGCGCGGGATTACAGGCTAAGCCACCGAGCCTAGCTTATTTTTTTTTGAGTTGGAGTCTCACTTTGTCGCCTAGTCTAGAGTGCAGTGGCATGCTCACAGCCACTGCAGCCTTGACCTGCTGGGGTCAGGTGATCCTTCAGCCTCAGACTTCCAAGTAGCTGGAACTACAGGCATGCACCATCACACCCGCTAATAAGTTTGATTTATTGTAGAGATGTGGTCTCGCCAAGTTGCCCAGGCGGGTCTTGAACCTGTGTGTTCAGGCAATCCTCTTACCTCAGCCTCACAAGGTGCTGGGATTATAGATGTGAGTTACTGCGCCTGGCTTTTTTTTTTTTTTTTTTTTAATTGAGATGGAATCTCGGTCGCCTAGGCTGGAGTTCAGTAGGATGCTCACAGCTACTGCAGCCTCGACCCTGCTGGGCTCAGGGTGATCCTTCTGCCTCAGGCTTCCAAGTAGCTGGAACCACAAGTGTGCACCACCATGCCTGGCTAATTTTAAAATTTATTTTAGAAACGAGGTCTCACCAAGTTGCCCAGGCTGGTATCGAACCTCCTGGGCTCAGAAAATCCTCTTGCTGTACCCTCCCAAAGTGCTGAGATTACAGGTGTGAGCCACTGTGCCAGCCTTATTTCCTTTTTTTTTTTTTTTGAGTGAAAGTCTTACTCTGTCACCTAAACTGGAGTGCAGTGGCACGCTCACAGCCACCACAGCCTTGACCTGCTGTGTTCAGGTGATCCTTCCACCTCAGCCTTCCAAGTAGCTGTAACTACAGGCATGTACTACTATGCCCGGCTAATTATCTGTCTATCTATCTATCTATCTAATCTATCTAACAAGATCTCTATCTATGAGACGAGATCTCTCCAAATTGCCCAGGCTGGTCTCAAATCCCTGAGCTCCATCAGCTCTCTTGCCTTGACCTCTCAAAGTGCTGAGATTACAGGCATGAGCCACTGCGCCCGGCCTTTTTTTCGTTTTCTTTTTCTTTTTTTTTTTTTGAGTCAGAGTCTCACTTTGTCTTCCAGCCTGGAGTGCAGCGGCATACTCATGGCTACCCTAGTGTCGACCTGCTGGGCTCAGGTGATCCTTTCGCCTGAGCCTTCCAAGTAGCCAGAACTACAGGCACATTTTACCACACCTGGCTAATTTTTTGATGTATAGTAGAGACAAGGCCTCACCAAATTGCCCAGGCTGGCCTTAAACCCCTGTGCTCAGGCAGTCCTCTTGCCTCAGCCTCCCAAAGTGCTGGGTTTACAGGCTTGAGCCACTGTGCCCTACCGTTTTTTCTTTTTCTTTTTTTTTTTTTTTGAGTTGAGTCTCACTCTGTCGCCCAGACTGGAGTGCAGTGGCCGCTCCCAGCCACCGCAGCCTCGACCTGCTGGGCTCTGGCGATCCTTCTACCTCAGCCTTCCAAGTAGCCGGAATTACAGGCATGCGCTACCACGCCAGGCTGATTTTTTGATTTATTGTAGAGATGTGGTCTTGCTGCCCAGGCGGGTCTTGAACCTGCGGGCTCAGGCAATCCATTCACCTCAGCCTCCCAAAGGCACGGCATTACAGGCTGAGCCACCGAGCCTGGCTTGTTTTTTCTTTAATATAGATGCTATCTTGCTATGTTCCCAGACTGGTCTCAAGTGATCCCTCTGCCTTGGCCTCACAGAGTGCTGGGATTACAAGTATGAGCCATTGCACTTGATCTTGTTTTTACTTTTTTTTCCTTGAGTTAGAATCTCACTCTGTCGCCCAGGCTGGAGTGAAGTGGTACACTCACGGCCACCTCATCCTTGACCTCCTGGACTCAGACAGTCCTGCCTCAGCCTTCCAAGTAGCTGTACCACCATGTCTGGCTTTTTTTTTTTTCTTTTTGAGTTGGAGTCTCACTCTGTCACCTGTCAGGCTAGAGGGCAGTGGCATGCTCTCACAGCCTCGACTTACTGGGCTCAGGCGATACTTCTGCTTCAGCCTTCCAAGGAGCTGAAACTACAGGCTTATGCCACCATGCCTGGCTATTTTTTTTTTTTTTTTTTTTTGTCTTGAACCCCTGAGCTCAGGCAATCCTCTTACCTTGGCCTCCCAAAGTGCTGGGATTACAGGAGTGAGCCACTGTACCTGACTTGTTTTTATTATTAATTAAAATTTAACACAGTTGTAAAGCTAAATCTGCAATAAAATATTACAGCATATTTTAGAGACAGGATTGTGGCTCGTGCTTGTAATCCCAGCACTCAGAGGTTGAGGTGTGAGGATAGCTTGAGTTTAGGAGGTCAAGGCTTCCGGGAATTTTGATCGAGCCACTGCACTCCACCCTGGGTGGTAGAAGGAGGCTCTGTCTCTATAAATAAAATGATAAAATCAATGAAAAGTTATTTGGATCAGAGCCATATATTGGGTATATATCACACATCCTGTTACCCCAACAATGATTTGTTTGAGGAACTGATAATCCTTAAGTGAGTACTACCCTTCCTCTCCAGTGTACCTGTGGGTTGCTAGAAAATGGGTCTAAAGATTGAGAGGATGGGAGAAATACAGTACTGTCTGTGGAGAATTCTTAGGCCCTGAGAGCAAGGTAAGAAGAGAGTTGATGAAGAGCATTGGGATGCAGAGGGCAAGTTTCTTACAGAACAAATCATTTATCATTTCTGTGCTAGATGTTTGCTTAAGAACAGAGATTACAGTTACCATCCTGGTCTGTAAAGGAGAGATGAGTCAGAAACAGTTTGGAGGTATTTGTATTGACCTGAAGTCATGGAAATGCTTTTCCCACATCCCAGTGATTGTGAAGTGCTGACCACACTCACCCCTGACACCGGCCGAATCCTGTCCAAGCTCCACACTGTCCAGCCCAAGGGCAAGATCACCTTCTGCACTGGCATTCGCGTGGCCCACGTGAGTCCTTCTAGTCCTCTTGATTGCTCCTCCCTGGTCTGAGCTTTTGCTTGCATCGTATTCATTTCTCCCCTGGAATCTTGAGCAAGATCCAGGGCAAGGGAAGAGAGAGGACCTAGAGAAATCTAACTTGGAATGGAAAGGATGGCAGGCTGAATCTTTGGCTTGTTGAATGTGAAGGGTGCTGAGAATTAACCTCTCCTCTATCCACAGAGAGGCACAGCAGGAAAGGAGTAGGGGTGGGGTTAAATCAAGTGGGCATGATGGTAGACTTGAGGTACATAGAAACTAAGAAAAAGGGGAACAGAGTGACAGGAACGAGCTAGGCAGTTCCTCTGGTTGACTCTGAGAACTTCACTTCCTTTGCAAGCTGGCTCTGAAGCATCGGCAGGGCAAGAACCACAAGATGCGCATCATTGCCTTTGTGGGGAGTCCAGTGGAGGACAACGAGAAAGACGTGAGTCCAAGCAACGGCTGCGAGTGTAGGCGGTCCGCGTTGGGGAAGGAGGTCTTTGAGTTGTGCAAGGTGGGTCCCCCTCAAGTATGGAACAGATTTCTTTCTTTTCCTTCCTTCTCAGTTGGTGAAACTGGCTAAACGCCTCAAGAAGGAGAAAGTAAATGTGGACATTATCAATTTCGGGGAAGAGGTGCGTAGGAACTGAGTGGGGCTGGGCTTGGTTCTGTTGTGAATGTACAGTCCTTACCCAGAGGAGTCCCCGCATTGTGCGAGTGAGAGTCACACAGAAAGGGGGAGAAGGGGTGCAAGGCCTAGGGGAGGCTTCATGTGTCCTTCCCTCCCCAGGAGGTAAACACAGAAAAGCTCACAGCCTTTGTGAACACACTGAATGGCAAAGACGGGACCGGCTCTCACCTGGTGACAGTGCCTCCAGGGCCCAGCTTGGCTGATGCTCTCATCAGTTCTCCGATTTTGGCTGGTGAAGGTGGTGCCATGCTGGGTCTTGGTGCCAGTGACTTTGAGTTTGGAGTGGATCCCAGTGCTGACCCTGAGCTGGCCTTGGTGAGCAGATACTGACCCAGGGGGAGCCCCAGCATCCTTCTTTGTCCTCCTCTACTGACACATTATAGGGCTTATGCCAGACTGCACAGTCCTAGACACTTACTCTCCAAGATCCCCTTTGGTTCCATGTTCCCCACAATTCCATCTCATTTCTAGGGCACTTTCTTGCTCGCTTCTCCCATGCCCATCCTTCTCTCCTGTATCACCTCTTACCCTCCAGCTTCTTCCCACGTGATAAACCAGAAGGTGCCCCTCTGTGGTCCTTCCCACCTCTCAGCTGGCTTTCCCAGCTTCCAGCAGGAGGGAGGCCCGAGGAGCGTCTGACTTGCCCTGCTCCTTGCCAGGCCCTTCGTGTTTCCATGGAAGAGCAGCGGCAGCGGCAGGAGGAAGAGGCCCGGCGGGCAGCTGCGGCCTCTGCTGCTGAGGCTGGGATTGCTCCAACTGGGACTGAAGGTGAAAGAGGTGGCATCTCAAGTCCTGTGACTGCAGGGCGCGGAATGCTGAAAGTGGGGGTCGATGGAGTGGGGAGGCCTGGCTGGACAGGAATGTGGGAGGACCAGGCTGAGGAAATGGCTTCGGGGCTGGTCTATGTGTACATGGTACCAGCTCTACCCAGCTCCCTCTTTCCCAGACTCAGACGATGCCCTGCTGAAGATGACCATCAGCCAGCAGGAGTTTGGCCGCGCTGGGCTTCCTGACCTCAGCAGCATGACTGAGGAGGAGCAGATTGCTTACGCCATGCAGATGTCTCTGCAGGGAGCAGGTGAGGTCGGGCCGGGCATGGTGCCTAGGCTGAGGGTGGGGTGAGGAAATGGAACTAAACACACTGACCTCTTGTCCACAGAGTTTAGCCAGGCGGAGTCAGCAGACATTGATGCTAGCTCAGCCATGGACACATCTGAGCCAGCCAAGGTGAGGGCCGATCCCACCCCATCAGGTTTAAAATCCCCTTGCATTTGGATCCTCAGCCCTCTAGGGTGGGACCGTTCCTCCCTCCTGGCTTCATAGACGAGTGCTTTGAGGAGCAGAAGGAGATGCGTGTGTTGCCCTTCTTATATGTTAACCTTGCGGAAGTAACAGAACACTGGTGATCAGAATTAGAGAAATGTCCTGGGATTCTGTAATTTCCCTTCCTTGCTGGTGGGAGCAGTCTGGACTGTTCTCTAGGATGTCATCTTCCCAGGAGGCTGAAGAGAAGGTCTAGGAAAAAGAAGCAGGAGGGCTGGGTGTCTGACAGCAGAACACCTGAGTGTGATGGCACCTGTTTTTGTCGTCAGAGCTCAGTGAGCAAGGTTCTCAGGCTTCTCCTCTGTTTGGGCAGTAGAAATGTTTGCATTCCTAGCATAGGGTTTCGCTGACTCATCCTTTTCTTCCCTCGGCTACCCACACGTAGTCAGGAGAGAGGGGCCCAGGCAGCAGTGTGCTCCTGTCCTGGACACCCGCGAGCTCCCTGCCACCCCATACCCACCCGAGCCAACACTGCCTTTCCAGGAGGAGGATGACTATGACGTGATGCAGGACCCTGAGTTCCTTCAGAGTGTCCTGGAGAACCTCCCAGGTGTGGATCCCAACAATGAAGCCATCCGAAATGCCATGGGCTCTCTGGCCTCCCAGTCCACCAAAGAGAGCAAGAAGGACAAGAAGGAGGAGGACAAGAAGTGAGACTCGAGGGAAGGGTAGCTGAGCCTGCTCAGGGGACTGCGTGGGGGCACAGAGGCAGGGCTAGACATGTGCTACCTGTAACGTGACAGCCTCAATAAAGCGTGGCAACTTTTTTTTCTTTTTGCTTCAAATGATGGTTTTGAGTGTGAGCGCCGGGAGGAGCATGTATCTGAAGGAGAGCCCTCCCTGTGTAGTTCTCTGTGTCTCTTTCCGTCCTCCAAATCCTGACCCATTCGCCTTCCTCCCAGCTCCATCCACGACAGCCCTGCCTCAGTTTCTCCTACCCTGGACCATTTTGCTTTCTCATTTATTTATTTATTTTTTTGACTCAGAGTCTCTGTTGCCCAGGCTGGAATGCACACTCATGGCCGCTGCAGCCTCGACCTGCTGGGTTCAGGTGATCCTTCTGCCTAAACCTTCCAAGTAACTGTAACCACAGGCGCGTACCACCACGCCTGGCTAATTTTTTGATTTATTGTAGATAGGAGGTCTTGCCAAGTTGCCCAGGCTGGTTTCGAAACCCTGGACTCAGGCAATCCACTCACCTCCCAAAGTGCTGGATTTATAGGCATGCCTTGCCACACCTGGCTAATTTTTAATTTTTTTTTTTGTGGAGACGAGGTCTGCCTATGGTGAATTGTCTATTTATTTATTTATTTATTTTTGAGTCAGAGTCTCACTCTGATGCCCAGGCTGGAATGCATCCTGGCCACCAAAGCCTGGACCTGCTGGGCTCTGGCGATCCATCCACCTCAGCCTTCCAAGTAGCTGGAACTACAGGAGCGTGCTACCATGCCTGACTTAGGCTTGAGCCACCGCATCTGGCCGAATTGTCTCTTTAATATGATAAACAAAGGGGAGGGGATTGTGTGAATTCTGCATTCTACTCCACACTTATAAGAAAACCTTCTGGCCAGGCTCGGTGACTCAACCTGTAATCCCAGCACTTTGGGAGGCCGAGGTGAGTGGATTGCCTGAGCCCGTGAGTTCGAGACCCGCCTGGGTAACTTGGTGAGACCTCATCTCTACAATAAATCAAAAACTAGCCGAGTGTGGTAGCGTGCGCCTGTAGTACCAGCTACTTGGAAGGCTGAGGCGGACGGATCGCTGGCGCCCAGCAGGTCGAGGCTGTGGTGGCTGGGAGCGGCCACTGCACTCCAGTCTAGGTGACAGAGTGAGACTCCAACTCAAAAAATAAAAAAAAGAAAAAAGAAAACCTTCTTCCACATTTGGTGCTCCATGAAGACCCTATGTCTTCCTCTGTGGCTTCCCAGACCCCAGCTGTGAGCCAGGCCTAGGATTCCTGCTCCTTGGCCCAGGGCCTTGCCCACTTTTCCATCTGTCTCCTGCCACTGCTGCTGGACTATATGCCACTCAATTCCTCCAGCAGGCAGGATTCAAATGTCACCTCCGGCTGGGCTTGGTGGCTCAGCCTATAATCCTAGCGCTTTGGGAAGCAGAGGTGAGTGAATTGCCTGAGCCCGTGGGTTCGAGACCCGCCCGGGCAACTTGGCGAGACCTCATCTCTACAATAAAGCAAAAAAAGTAGCTGGGCGTGGTAGCGTGTGCCTGTAGTTCCAGCTACTTGGAAGGCTGAGGGGGGAGGATCACTGGAGCTCAGCAGGTCAAGGCTGTGGTGGCCGGGAGTATGCCACAGCACTCCAGTCTGGGTGACAAAGTGAGACTCCAAGTCAAAAACAAAAAACAAGCCCGGCTCAGTGGCTCAGCCTGTAATCCCAGCACTTTGGGAGGCTGAGGTGAGTGGATTGCCTGAACCCGCGGGCTCGAGATCCGCCTGGGCAACTTGGCGAGACCTCATCTCTACAATAAATCAAAAAATCAGCCGGGCGTGGTAGTGCATGCCTGTAGTTCCAGCTACTCGGAAGGCTGAGGCAGAAGGATCACCGGAGCCCAGCAGGTCGAGGCTGCGGTGGCTGGGAGCAGCCACTGCACTCCAGTCTGGGCGACAGAGTGAGACTCCAACTCAAAAAAAAAACAAACCAAATGTCACCTCAAGGAGCCTCTGCAGAGGCTACCAGCACGGTTCTTTCTCCCCACTGTTCCCAAGTGCTTTGTGTCTCTCTTGGCACTCTGACACACGGAGTCCCAGCTACTCAGGATGCTAAGGCTGCAGTGAGTTGTGATCATGCACCCGGCCTGGGTGACAGACCCTGACTCCAAAAAAAAAAGGCAATTAATATTTGGTACATACAAAGATACTCAACCTATATATTATTCATGAAGCATAACAATGAACATGAGCAGGCCGGGCTCGGTGGCTCAGCCTGTAATCCCAGCACTTCGGGAGGCTGAGGTGAGTGGATTGCCTGAGCTGCGGGTTCGAGACCCACCTGGGCAACTTGATGAGACCTCATCTCTACAATGAATTTTTTAAAAAATGAACCGGGCGTGGTAGCGCATGCCTGTAGTTCCAGCTACTTGGAAGGCTGAGGCAGAAGGATTGCTGGAGCCCAGCAGGCGAGGCTGTGGTGGCCGGGAGCAGCCACTGTACTCCAGTCTGGGCGACAGAGACTCCAACTCAAAAAAAAAAAAAAACCAATGAACATGATCAAAGCCACTCCGGGTAAGAGCTGGAATGTCACGCATATCTTTCCATGTACTTTTGTGTGCCTTCTCGAGCCCACCCTTCCACATCCTCAAAGGTAATTTATCCTGAATTTTGCAGTTACTATTTCCTTTTTATTTCCTCTTCAGTTTTCTCAGGTACATGGATTCCTGACCAGAATATGCTTAGTTTTGTTTGTTCTTGAACTTTATAGAAAAATAGTTTTTTAATACTTTAAGGTTTCTGGGACTCACCTTTTTTTTTTTTTTTTTGAGTTGGAGTCTCGCTCTGTCACCCAGGCTTTTATAAACAGTATCTAGACCAGGCATGGTGACTCAAGCCTGTAATCCCAGCACTTTGGGAGGCCGAGGCGAGAGTACTGCCTAAGCCACAGGGTTCGAGACCAGCCTGGGCAATTTGGCCAGAACTCGTCTCTACAGTAACTTAAAAAATTAGCCAGGTGTGGTAGCGTGCGCCTGTAGTTCCAGCTACTTGGAAGACGGAGGCCGAAGGATCGCCTGAGCACAGCTGGTTGAGGCTGCTGTGACTGTGAGCGTGCCACTGCACTCCAGCCTGGATGACAGAGTGAGACGCCAACTTAAACAAAAAAATGAAAACAAGTATTAGTCACCAGCTTTTCTGGGCTGGATGTGGTTCCCAAAGTGAAGTCTCATTCTGGCAGAGCCCGTCCACCAAGCAGTGACAGGATCTGTGTTGGAGTCTTTGGTCCTTTCCACACCAGCTGGTTGACTTCAGTACTAGGGAAGGTGACTTGGCCCCCACTGTGGCCTTACGGTACCTTGGCTCTTCAGATTCAAAGATCGTCGTCATGTTTCATTACCTCACTCAGGGCTGTGCTGTGTGTCCACCGTAATAAATGCTCCCTGGTGATGTCAAATGTGCACTTGGCCCACAGACTTCTGCCATTTTCACTGTCTTGCTCTGATAGTCCTCGTGTACTTTTTTTTAAATTTTATTTTCGAGTTGGAGTCTCACTCTGTTTCCCAGACTGGAGTGCAGTGGCTCACTCACGGCCACCCCAGCATCAATCTGCTGGGCTCAGATGATCCTTCCACCTCATCCTTCCAAGTAGTTGGAACTACAGGTGTGTGCTAACACACTAGTTAATTTTTTTTTAAATTTATTGTAGAGACAAGATTTCACCAAGTTGCCCAGGCTGGTCTAGAACCCCTGGACTCAGACAATCCTCTTGCCTCGACCTCCCAAAGTGCTGGGACTATAGGCTTGAGCCACAGTGCCTGATCCTTTGTATACTTTTAAACACTCCTGTGAAGATGTGTGTACTCTAGGCAATTCCATTTTAGGAACTTTAGGAAATAATCAGAGAACTCACAGATTTTTGTACAAGGAGGTTGAAAAATTGGAAATAGCCAAATATCCAATAATTAATATGAAATAATCTGTCAAAAATTTTACTTTGGTGTGGCCAGGCATGGTAGCTCAATACCTGTAATCACTCACTTTGGGAGACAAAAGTGAGTGAGTTGGCTGAGCCCAGGGGTTCCAGACCAGCTGGGCAACTTGGTGATCAATCAGTTAGTCAAAAAAAAGTAGCCAGGTATAGTGGTGGGCACCTGTGGTTCTAGCTACTTGGAAGGCTGAGGCGGAAGGATCACCTGAGCCTGGGAAGTTGAGGCTGCAGTGGTCATGAGCATGCCACTGCATTCATCTGGACGAGAGTAAGACTCCGACTAAAAAAAAAAAAAATTACTTCAGACCATCATTTAGAGATATTGGATATATGATTATAATATAATATCAGCAAATACTTGCATACGTAACATACCAGCAACTTTTTTTTTTTTTTGAGTTGGAGTCTTACTCTGTTGCCCAGACTGGAGTGCAGTGGCCGCTCCTGGCCACCGCAGCCTCGACCTGCTGGGCTCCGGTGATCCTTCCGCCTCAGCCTTCCTAGTAGCTGGAACTACAGGCGTGCACTACCACGCCCGGCTAATTTTTGATTTTATTATAGAGATGAGGTCTCACCAAGTTGCCCGGGCGGGTCTCGAACCCGTGGGCTCAGGCAATCCACTCACCTCAGCCTCCCAAAGTGCTGG